ATATGCCATCGATGATGATGATGGGATGTGGAAGTAAAACAAAATATAAGTTGTTATAAGTTTAGTAAACGCCAATGTTGCTGTGTGCATTGCCACTAAGTTACAATAGCGTTCCTTCATTATTACTAATTTTTGTACCGTACAAAGACCACTAAACCCCTATGAACTGTTCAGCCAAGAGCTCACGTTAAACCGCAGATTGAACATGTTTCCGCTAATTACCGTGTAACCTTGGCCCATCCCCAAGCTCAAACAGGCATTCATCAGTGCACAACCTCCATCATTAGGTCCATCCTCTAGTAGCGGTGGCAATCATATCTGCTGCCCACGGCAGGGCCCCATGTATCGTTGATTAGCCAACAACAACAACATCATGATCATCCGTAGCTCGCTAATTAACGGGGTGCTGCTTATTTTACCCAACCTGGAGATGATACTGATGGTACTAGCGATGATGATAATCGTCATGATGCCAATATCAAACCGGAGCAAGATTCGAACTCACTTCCCTTGCCGTTTGGGAGACGTGGCCGGGTCGTCCTACGGAGGCGCTGGTCCCAAGCCGTGGGCATGTGGACTCTACTACCGCCAGCCCAGGGCAGCTGATAGAGATGGGTTGTCACTGCCGTGCCCGTGTGAACAAGGAGACGCCGTGACAGAGTGCGCGTTCCACCGAGGCACGAATTGCGGCAGCCGCTTGCACGGTGGCGTGGCACGCGATACATCCAAGTCACAATGTCCACGTGTTACAACCTCCGATCAGCACGGTTGGCTACGCACGGTGCGAAAGAAGTTAAACGTGCATGCAACGGCGCGTCCAAGCCGCACAATTTAGAGTTCCAAATTTCCACTAGAAAATTCAATCCACGAATACTCGACTAAATTGTTGACTTTTTTGTTTTGTTTGCAGCTTTTACAGCTATGCACATAGCAAGTGTTGCGGTGTGCGTGGGTTTATGTGCTGTATAGAACGAGATGGAAGGCGAGTGCTACGTCTATGACAAAACAAAGCATAACCACCGTTTCACAGCATGCCATGCGACTATGGGCTATAAGCAAGAGAGAAAAGCGTGCGCGAGTGTGTGTTTGTGTGTGTCTGTCTGTCTGCTTTAGGTTGACAGCCGTAAAGTGAGTGCCAAGTGTGGGGGACATCATCTTCGTCGGCACTCGAGGAGACAAAGGTGGCTGGGCATGCACTGCGCGTGGCCACAGTGCACCGTTTCAGTCTCAATAGGTGCACGCTAACAGCACTTGGCCACGACCGGCTGTGTGGCTCAACGGGAAAGAGGGTCTCTCACTTTTGCTACCCTTCAAGACCCTACATAACACCAGCAGCAATGAGAACCTTGACCCAGACCTGGCTCTCCCCTGGGTATAGCCTCAGCCCGGTACAAGTGCTGGCCATTGTCAACATCAGCTCTGGGGAGACAAAGGTGGTAGTGTATGGGTGGCGCTGAGCACACCACGTCCTGTTCAGTATCTCCGTGCTTGTTCAGAGTGTGCACGTGCAATGAGGGCTTGCACGCACGTGCGTGTGATTAAGTGCTTTGTGCACGTGGTGCTGGGTTTTTTTTTTGTGGTACCAGAATCCACTGCGGACCCGACAACCCGACTGTGCTTACGCAATGCAGACCCGTCAGGAGGACGAGCCACGGAAAGGGCACCGGAGCGCCACGGTTAAAACCCAATCAAAAATATTCCAGCACAGGTCTACAACACGGAACAATTAGTAGTTGGCGAAAGATGAAATGAGGACACGTGACACAGGTCTGTGCATTTTGATGACGGGTGGAAAATTAACTCGAACGTTCGGGATGAATCCTGCGGGACGGTTGGGCGGCTTTAGCAACTCGCGAAGCGCACGCGGCGCGTGACCGCTGCACCAATCGTGCCACGGAGCGCCGAGCTACAGATCCTGAAAACCATCTGCCTGGCCCTTGGCTACTGCCAAAGCCACCTTCCGATCAATCAACAAATCCACAACATCGCCGGCAACGCAGCAACGGGGCCGCCTTCCCACATGCAAATGTAACCGTTGCGAGCTGGCGATATTACTTAGAAGTATCATCCGACACGCATTTCTTATGCCTTACACTTTCGGTTTGCAGATAATTCACAGGAACATGTGCAGGCACGCACCTTCAGTTTCAGATATCGTCCGCGAGTTGTGTGCTGAACCGAGGTCCGCCTCACTTATCCAAACCTGTATATTAAGTTTGGAAACAAATATCAAGATGGTTTGTGGGTTCAGCAACGGCAGATTGTGTCTATTTCACCTGGATTAAAGCCGGCTGGTGGACGTGAGGGCAACTGGCTGTCGCGAGTGCGATAATCGCGAATTTATACCGTCGCCAGGTGCCATTTAATTAATTAAAAAAAAACCAACGTGGATCGACGGGAAACGAGGCATTCGAAATCTGCGTCTGTCAATAACCTTCATCGTTAGACTGCCAATTTCTTTATTCTCCCACGTGCGTTGGTAAAACATTTTGTCCACGTGGGTTGGGTCAATTTTTGTCCACGTATGTTGGGTCCATTTTTTTGTCCACATGGGTTGGGTCAATTCATTTGTCCACGTGTGTTAGGTAAAACATGTTGACCACGTGTGTTGGGTAAAACATGTTCACCACGGGTGTTAGGTAAAACATGTTGACCACGTGTTTTAGGTAAAACATGTTCACCACGTGTGTTAGGTAAAACATGTTGACCACGTGTCTTAGGTAAAACATGCTGAACACGTGTGTTGGGTAAAACATGTTGACCACGTGTTTTAGGTAAAACATGTTGACCACGTGTTTTAGGTAAAACATGTTGACCACGTGTTTTAGGTAAAACATGTTGACCACGTGTGTTGGGTAAAACATGTTGACCACGTGTTTTAGGTAAAACATGTTCACCACGTGTGTTAGGTAAAACATGTTCACCACGTGTGTTAGGTAAAACATGTTGAACACGTGTGTTAGGTAAAACATGTTGACCACGTGTTTTAGGTAAAACATGTTCACCACGTGTGTTGGGTAAAACATGTTGACCACGTGTGTTGGGTAAAACAATTTGACCACGTGTGTTAGGTAAAACAATTTGACCACGTGTGTTAGGTAAAACATGTTGACCACGTGTGCTGCACCCGTTCACCTCTCCAAATCCTGCCTACCAGCCACGGTGTTCCGCCGTATGAGTTTTCAAATTCCCCCCCCCCTGGTGACTAACAACACGAGGTGGGGGGTGCCCCCTAGCCAATAGAGGACGCTATAGCTGTGACTTAAGTATTTTTTTTTGTACTCCCCCATGAACTAACCCATCAAATTCGCGCATGCGACGATATTGAGACATCGAGAAGGGGCGAGGAGTGAGTCCTTAGCGTGTTTTTGGTTTCACGTTCCTGTCGAAATCAACTCGAGCGCTGTACGGTGACCGAATGCAAATTGATTCCCCCAATCACATTAGCAACGAAGTGACTTTGAGATCGTGAAATAAATGTATATTATTTTATCATTATACACAACCTTGTGACTCGTGTGTGTGTATGTGTGCGTGCGTATATTTATCGCGACACAAACCATCTCGACATTTGTTGCCGTGTTGAAAAAAGTGAAAAGTTGCAAACAATTTTTGTTGTTGTTGTTGTAACGGATCGTCCGCCAACCCCCACGCAGTAGAACGTACAAACGTTGTGCCCAAAACGTTGTTGGCACGTTCACTGGGCAACTGCTGCTCAGCGTAACCACAGGGGGAAGGAGCGCGTTTTGTGTGCCAAATAATGAATAATACTTTGCGTTTCGTAAGGATGTCAAGGGGGGGCGGTGGAAAGTGACGGCGCTTCATTCACTCGAGCGCCTTCCCGACGAAGAGACATTGGCTGTGCGACGCGACCACGATATGACACGAACCACGATGCTTCACAGAAACGAGAAAAGATAGGGGGCTATAAATGAACACCGAATATCAAAAAGCGCCTTCGGGAATAAATGTGTTCATCGATCGTGCAGCCTTTTGAGGAAAATATCGTGTCTTCACCGTTCAGCGACCGACTCTTCCGGCTTCTTTAAATGTTTAATTTTACGAGTTCCCTCCCTGAATAATTGCCCAAACCCTCTCACTCACCTCCCCCCCCCCCCCCCCCCTGATTCGTGAGTGGCAGATTCCAAAGTGTTAAAGCCAGCACTTGAGGCTTGGAACCAACCATTTAATTATAGGGGTAGTTCGGAGGGGCTGGTGGTGGTGGAGATGGGGTATTATGAGGAGTGCCATTAATATATTTCACACAAATGATTAGAAAAGATGAGAGATGAGAAAGAAAAAAATACAAATGACAGCAAACACAGACGACAACCATGTAACAACTGTTAACCGTTACCAACAGGAATTTGAGGTTATGTTGTATATTTATATATATTTATATCTTCAATCCTTGGAGAAGACACGTAACTGCACCCGACGGCTGAAGTGTTTGACGTGTAGAGTCGCACATCGCAGCGACGGCGGTATGACTTCAGCAACAACGTTCAGCTTCTTTTGTGCTAACATAGCAGGTGAACATTTTTCACATTTTTGTTGTTGTTGTTGTAACTTTAAACCCAATCCGCCGAATAATTGGCACGCCTTTATTTGGTATGAAATTAAAACGAGCCCCGCAAAGTCCAACGTGTGTTCAGAGATCGTCGCGAAGATCATCGCAAACCCCTTTTGCCCACCCCTTCCCCCCCCACCCCCCCTGACCTGCGATTTCGACGCTTCGCTGCCGACGGAATGAATCCCCTTATCCCGTCCCGCCAACAGGAAGAGTCTTGCAACCCAGCTGTGCCTTCTCCGTTATAAATTAACCGGGTCTCTTTCGTCGACGAACGCTCAGCGTTGTCCTTGAAAACAAACATTGTCACAGTTGGGCTGTGGAGGAATGATGTTCCAAAGCTGTCTTCCCACCGGCATTACATTTTTGTAAATCCACAGGGTTCACCCACATCGCAGGTAGTGTGGCCCTGGCTCTTGTAAAGTTCGGGTTTTTTTTCTTCAGTTCTTCATGTGGACGTAGTTCTATTTCTTTTAATTACAACGCGCGACTTGTGTGTGTACTCAACACATCATATACTGTATAATCCTATACCACATGCCCATACACACGCTACAATGACACTCCTCCTGTGTGGCAACTTCTTATCCACAACTCCCACTATCCGCAGGGTACAGCCAAGGATTGGTTGTTGTCTGCATAGCTACGGATAACGGAAAGGCCACGGATGGATGGGGTGCAAGCACAATACTCACCCCGCCATTAACATTTTTATCTGGAAAAATGAGATTCAGGTTATCAACCCGAGTTCGATTCCAGGCCGTGGCTAATATCAGTGTTGAGTGAAATCAGAACCGGAAATGGGGTCTCCTCACCTAACCAACCTGCGATGACCAGCATGGTGAAGTATGGTCAAACAACCCCCCCCCCCAGGACTGACCCATGGGGGAGGCATTTATCCAGCAGTGAATCGGCAAAGGGTTATTGTACATTTTATATATATAAAAAAGGAGGAGATCCTGTCATAGGTTGTTCCTGTTATCCGTGATGACACGGACAAGGGGGCACAAAACATCCTTCGCCTGTGAATTCACTTCTCTGCAAGTGCCATGGGCCCTGCATTGTCGTGCCACAGAGGAATCTCGTTGCACGGGCAATGAGTGTCACGACCTTCAAACGGGTTTCAAGTGCGACATGTGGCGTAGGCCTTACAATATAAACGTGCGGTATACACATACGCGTGCGCGCGCGTGCATGTCTTTAGTAAATATATGTAGTGTGTGGATGAACACAACGTTGTCTATTTGGGATGATGTCGGCTGTAGACGTCGAGACTTGAGGTGATTGCATTTTATGCTTCTTATTTTTTTTTAAGGGGCTTCGCGTCACTTACTGCCGGATGAACAGAATGCATTCGCGAGTAGAGGGTCAACCACTTAAAACCTGAGCAAAAAAAAAGCCTTCGCGATTTTGTGTTCCAGCAGGTTTCATTCGCAACGCATGAGGGCCCTACAGTCTCTGAAAGAGTTAACAAAGACGTGAAGGTAAAATGTAAAAAAAAAACAACGGAGAATCACTTTCGCACAGTGAAGTACAATTACAGTCGCTCCAAATCGCGCGTTAAGATCCCGATCGCTTTTTTCATCGTTCAAATCCTGGAAATGCGAATCCGGAAGCAGACGAAAATGTTCTCACGCAACGTGGGAGGCTGCGTTGCACGGGAGAAAAATCTTAGCAAAATCTAGTGATTGTCATTTTTGCATGAGTGAGCTCACCTGTTAAACAAAATGCTGCAACTTGTACTGAATTATATCCATCAGTTATCAGAATATGCAAATTAAATTTTAACCAAAAGTGCAAACGTAGAAAATTCCCATGGTAGTCCACTACAATGGAAAATAAATAAGTCAACTCCATGGTATTCATTTGAGAATGTCTCTTGCAGGCTGAGTGATCAGCCTATTGTCATGATACTGATTACCAGCACAATCAGGAGAGGCCTGGGTAGCTAATGCCATGCTCAAGCACCGAGCTGACATCCTTACTTTAAATCCAAATCATATATATAAAAACAATTAACTACTGGATGAAGGCCTCCTAACATCAGAATGATCATATGGCTTGATTGACCATAGCTGTAGGTTGGTTCAAAGCTATGACATAAAATCCGGCTGTCGCTTAATTTGGCATATTCGGGGATTTATTTTCGTTTTCATTTGTACATGACAAAAAAACTATTCACGGGCCATATAAAAGGTGTGCCCCTGGTGCGAATGAAGTCACTTCAGAATGACTCCTGTTATGTCATCCTGAAGGGACTGTTCCGTGACAGGGAGAGGCACTGCTCGCTGCGAGTTTCTTGACATGATTGGCAATAAAAATTGGAATATACTTGGGATAAAAAAAACAAGTTAATTATAAAATGAGCATACAAACTGGGTGACTCAGAAAACGATGGATAAACATTCTTGTGGCCTGCGAGTTGCGTCTTTTTACCTTAAGTTGTATTCCAACCACATATCCAGTGTCGTCAGCGAGCAGTGTAACATCGCATCATGTCACAGAATGCTTCAGGAAGATGATGCCTGAAACTAAAACTAAACTGTTGTTGTTATTGTTGTTATTGTTTTTAAACAACCTCAGATTAGTAACAGAACATTCCATGTTACAATTGTATATCACTGGGTACAAAATAACTGAAGAAAAAAAAAAACACTAGACACTACATTTTTAAATATACATATATATTTAAAAAGAAAATCAAGCAGAACGCTTTAATCGTACTCCACTGTGCGAAAGAGAAACATCCCGTGGAAGAAAAAAAGAAGATAGATCCGTGCCTGGTATTTACAACAACAAAAAAAATTTGCGTGCAGGAGGCGAACAAATTCCTGGAGAGCAGCGCGTCGCCAGGAGAGATGCGGCCAACGAGGCTCTTGGAGTCGAGTCGCTCGCACGGATGCTGTTTCCGTTGGGTGCTACACCATCGTTGACAGATTATTTTTTTTTAGTTTTTTTGGCATTGCATTTGAATGCGGCTGCACGCTCGCGTCGTGGAGATACCCGGAAGTCTCTCCGACCCCGGAGTCGCGGTGGGCGGCGTGTCACGATGCGTCGAGACCGGAGACACAGACGCGCAGCGCAGAGAGAGAGAGAGAGAGTTCAGTTCGTGTCCGTGGATTTACATTTCAACTTCCGAATCCCAACTCGTCGAATGCGCAGCACGTTGTGTAACTGTATTTGTTTTAGAAACCTGATTTTCTTTTTGTGACTGTAATGTTTCAAACGATGCACGTTTTGGTTATTGATAAGAAAAGCTCTTGCATTTTTTTTATTCATTTTATGGTGTCATCAAGAGGTCATCGGTATTAACATTTTGCTTTGTGTGTGTTTTTTTTTTCTTCCGTTGTCATCATTTGGATGTTCCCTGCATGGCCGTGAGAGCACACAGATTGTTGACGAAGATGGCACACAATAAACCCCCATTTCCCCTCCCCGCCACGTTTCCACGCGGCAGTAAAAATCGTTTCGCTGCAGGTTTCCCTTGTCCCAGCGACAAGTGACCTTTTGAACGTCCGCGGTAATGTCGTCGTCGTCGCTATTGTCGTCGCTGCTTGTCTTCTTTTTTGCAATCGCAAAAAATGTACAGAGAGGTGATTTTACATGAGGCATTCTCCACGAGGAGGGTGTTTTATTGTCTCGAACGATAGAAACGTTCATCGAGCCACAAAAAGGTTGCTCTCTCCGAGCCACCGCAGAGCGATCCGTACATCCCAAGAAAAAAAAAAACTTTAAGGTAGTTTCACTAGTTTGGAAAATGAGGTCATACCATGCTTGGAATCTCTGGAAAGGTGGCCCAACCTTCTCCCAGTGACGTCCACACAGCAACACAGATCAATACGGCAAGACGACAACGGCGAGCAGGAGGAGGAGCAGGAGGAAGGGCAGGAGGAAGAGCAGTAGGAGGATGGCGTTCCTTAAGAGATTTGAACGCGTGCGTTGTGTTGTCAGAGTCAGCCGCCAGTGTCGGCTCCATCGCCAGACTATCATGGCGGAGGTCTGGGGACGTGGAGCTTCATTCGTGCTCAAAACCGTTTTCCTCTGCGACGCGCTGCTTGCATTTTCAGGCCTGTGAGTCACGTGTCGAGGTCTGGAAACGGCCTCGTGTTTGAATCCGGGCTTCATCTGCAGCCTGGTGATTGCAGCCTCGCGATTGTTCAAAGAGAACGAGAACGTGACCTGGTTGCTTTCTTTCATAATCCTGAATAGAACACTTTTTTTTTTCCCACTTTTGAGCACCGATCTGGCAAAAGCGCTCTCTCAACAAAACGCAACCCCCCGATGCGTCTTGCAGAGCGCCGTCTAAAACCGATTCGAGCTTTCGCAGCTGCGCGGCAGGGAATCTCACGTCCTCGCGCAAACGCAGCGACGGTGTCCCGGTCGACGCCTTGGACCACAAAGACGCTGCGTCAACGCGACAAGCGGGACCACGACTCCGCGACCTCCGGTCGCGCCAAAGGAGTCCCGAGCTTCGGCGCAGCCGTCCACGGCGCTAGCGCGAGGCCACCTCGCTCGCCGAAGGCTCCAGGGGAGAGCCGGACCGCGACGTCGACGCTCCGTTGTTTGGGGGGCTGCCAGCGCCGGACGACGACCCGGATCCGGCCGCAGCCACCCCTCCGCCGACCGCCGCCGTCGACGCGGCGACCGCCGAAGATTCGACTATGGAACCGCCGCCGATACCTCCGCCGCCGCCGCCGCCGCCGCCGCAGCCGCCGCCGCCGCCGATCCCCGGCACTCCGCCAACTCCGGTCGGCGCTCCTCCGCCGCCGCCGCCGCCGCCGCCGCCGGTCGTGCCCTGGTGGAGTCCCTGGCCGCACACGTGGTGGTGCCGCTCCCAGTCCTTGTGCTGGCAGAAGGAGCCGCAGTACCGCGCCGTGTTGCATCCGCTGCACGTCTCGCTCGCCTTGCGGCCACAGTTCCAGCAGCTCTGCGGAGGCGAGAGGGCGGTGGTGAGAGGCGCGTCCCCCAATTCGAGGGTGCCCCAGGCACCGCGTGAGGCCTGCAAAAGCTTGCGGGAGCCAGCGGGCGATTCAGAGAACGCGCAATGGCCGCGTTAGGGTATTGAGCCATCGCCGCTGAGAACCCGATGACGAACCTGGGTTTCCGGTCACCTGCCATTTTCGAGGGGTGCGCTCAAGTGCGGTAGTGTGGTGGTCTGAACACGACGCATTAAAGTGTTCTTACTTTGTGTGTGTGTGTACATGTCTTATTGTGGGGGGCGGTAGTGTCTTGGTTAGCGCTACGCAGCGCTATGAACCCAGCGACCCGAGTTCGTTTCCCGCTTACAGCCAACACCAGTGACGATTATTTGAACCTATCCTGGGCCTCCCCTAGGTCGACTCAGCCTCAAATGAGTACCTAGTGCGGTGTGTAGTAAACATTGTCACGAGGGAGACAAAGGCGGTCGGGCGTGGTGCTAGCCACCCACCCCCTCGTGTACCGTCCTGGCCTTCATAGGTGCTCGCTAACAGCACTTGCCCCAACAGTCTGTCAAGGCTACACGGGGGATCTTTGTCGCTGCATTCCAAACCCCAGCGACCCCGAGTTCGATCTCCCGCTCGCGACCGGCCGGAGCGCCGCCGCCAAAGTGGATGCACAAAAAAACGCCAAATAACAAACTCGTCCACGCGGCTCGAGACAGCATCAGGATATTAATAGTGGAGGAATCCGACGAGCTACAAAGCTCCTCTACACAAACGTCCAGTAGGCACCCGCGAAGGACAACGGCGCTCGCACGAACCGGTGCCACGGGGCGCGGGAAAGTTTTGGGGGGGGGGGGGGGAACCTGCACATCCGGCGCCTCTCTCCCGCCGTCGGGGGTCCACGGAGTGTCGCGTCACGAAGACCCGGGTCAAGACCGGCCGACGATTGTCGACGCCGTTCCCGGACCCTCCCCGAGGGACTCAGGAGAGAGGGGGGGCCGCCGGGGTCCCAGCCACAGCCGCCACCCGCCACCACCCACCTCGCTCGAGTCCTCCTGCGAGTTGATTAGCGTCGCCGCGTCCTCGGCCGCCTGCCGTTTCGCGTCGAGCAGCGCTCGCTCCATCTTGCCGCGCTCGCTCGCGATCAGCTCGTGTGCCTTGCGCTCCGCCTCCGCCACGGCCTTCTGCAGCTCCGCCACGGCCTGGCGCTTCACCTCGTTCACCGCGTCCTCTGCGTGCACGGTGGGGTGGGGGGGTGGGGGGGGGTGGGAGGGGGACGCGCGTGCCGCTCGCTCATTGGCCGCGTCGTGATGCAGCGTACGCGCGGGTGCTGTGCGCGTAACTGCCCCACGTGACCAGGATTCGAACCCACGTGGGATGAGGAATTTCCATTTGTTTGGCACTTAACTGCCCCAGAATCTCAAAGACGCTTAACTGAACAATTCCAATGCCCAGCTGTAGTTTTTTTCTTTTTTGGCCTAGGCGACCGCCCTGATGGCAGCCGTCCCTGTGCTGTAGAAGGTAACGCAGCACCGGCACGTAAATGGACATCGGTCGATCAGTCGGGGGCTATGCTGCTGTTGGTTAATAACACTGGTACAGTAATGTGGAATCACCAGCGGAGCTCTTCCGATGCTTGGCGCAGGCGGGAACGAACGGGAAGTTGAACAAATTCAGATGCAAGCCGTGGAGGAGAGGGTTGGCCTCTTAATTATAATAAATTGGGAGCGAAGGGGAGATATTGGCTAGCAGTGGGGCGGTGTTAGTTAAGGCGAGTGCACTCGTTAGAATAAGGGGACCGTGCACTCACCTGCTTTTCTCCAGATCTCGTCGGGCATGTAGCCTGAGATGGGCCGGTGTGGGAACTCCCTCTGGGATTCTGGGGCACAAACAAAAGAAAAACAGAGGAATGTCTCTGAGTGGCCCCGAACACCAGGCTACGCTTGCCCCGAGAAGGATGCTTTCACTGCACATGCAGCAGCACGGCAAAGTTCCCTACATGCCATCTCGAGTGTACTCTAAGAAGGCCGGCAAGATGGTTTGTCATATAGTGCCAAGGTTGAGCGCACACCTTGTGACTATCATTGACCTAGAGATAGGAAGTGATTCCATGACTGTCCATGTAGACCAAATCCCTTCCGATGGGCCAGGGTTGGGTACAATTTGAGGCAAGGTGAAATGGGAAGTGATTGGGAAGGAGCTCCAGTTGATAGGATCGCTGCTCCCGAGCTGGATTTGGTAGCATGCCTCATTCAGCTGCACCGCTGCTGCCGTGACTGCTCCGGACAGCTCCTTCCACCACAATGCTAATAATAAACGACAACTTCTACAGCGCCGCAACATTGCAAGCCATTACATGGGCACATGCAGCATATGGATCCCACGTGGATATATGCAGATAACATTTATACGAGGCCACGGCGAGGATCGGTAGCGAGCACGCCATGGTGGCAAGATGTTAACTACCTCGCCAGCTCTACACGAGGACGTGGGTTTGATCCCGACCCCGACGCCTGCTGTATAGTTCGAGTTTGCATGTCTCTCTCCCCGTGGTTGCGTGGATTTTTCTGCGGGTCCTCCGGTTTTTCCCTCCACGTGTATGAACATGCGTTTGGAGCATTTGGTTGCTATAAACGTCCACGCGATAGGCCGCTGTGCTGAGGTATCTTCTGAAAAGGAGCTACATAGCTCAGTGGGCCTTACCTGGTAAAATACAAATAGTTTATAGTTTTTTTTTTTATATCTGAACCGATCCCTGCCCCCGCCTTTGCCAACCTGCTATGACGAGGGTGAAGTACGGTCAAACAACCCCACTGACATAACTGGCGCGGCGTGGGGGAGGTCTTCACCCAGCAGCGTGCTTGACGAAGAAGGGTCAGAGGGGGGGGGGGGGCAGGAATGGGGGGGGGGGGCCCTCGACAGTCGTGGAATTGGGCAGAGAGCCCAAGGAAACGAGGGGTTGACGAGAGGCCATCGAGAGCGCCGCCTTCGACGGCCTCTGGTGGCAGACACGGGGCTCGTGGTCGAGAGCGCCGGCCTTGCACCCTCTGGGCCGGGGGCCCCGGGTAGGGGACGCCCGGCTTAAGAGGGGCGCACCTTTGCGCAGGTCCTCAGCGTCGTTGTAGCGCCGCATCCAGTAGTTGAGCTCCTCGCGGTCCGACTCCTGGCAACGCCGCAGGACGGTGAGGGAGCGCCGCGTCTTCTCCACCATGTCCATGATGCAGTTCAGCAGCTACGTGTGTGCACGTGCGTGCGTGCGCGTGTGTGCGAGTACACATGAATGTGTGTGCATGTGATTATGTGTGTGTGTGCGTGCGTGTGTGCGTGCGTGAGTATGCGGGCGTGTGCAAGTGAGAGTGTGAGTGTACGTATGTGTGAGTTTGAATTTGGGGTGTGTGTATGGGTGTGTGCGCATGTGAGCGTGTGTGGAACAGCAGGTGTGAGCATGCGTGCGAATTTGAGAGGGGTATATGTTTGTGCGCGGTCGGGTGACAGCAAAACACAATTCATAACAGTTATAAATCAAATATTTCATGCGTATTGATGCAATGATGCAGTGGGATTGGTCGCACCTAACAAATGATCTCAAAGCCAATCCAGTGCAATATCTCGTGCTGACTTTGCAACAGAACCTAACTTGAACTCAAGGTGACCCCCACGTTGAATTATAAAATGAAACAAAAAAGCTATTAAGTTGACCGTGGGGAATATTTAAAAATAGCCGAAGTGTGATGACAGTGAGATTGCAACGACAAAAAAAATTGGTTTTCACGAATCATAAATGTACCGTGCCAGGAATTGTGGCAGGGAACGGTTCTGACGAATAAGAGAAGGCCATTGCTAGTTGCGGTCAGAGAATACTTAATGGTGAATAGGGAAACCAAAGTGTTTCCATCACATCACATTCATCGCACGAGTGCACTGAACCAGCGTAACTAACGCATTTTATTTACAATTGGGGTAAGATTTTTGCAACGATAAAAAATAGCACGTGCACGGTTGGCTACGTATGGTGCGAAAGACGTTCAACATACGTACATACATAATGTGTGTTTTTTTGACTATTTAAGAGTTGGGTGTAGTCAGTGCATACCCGGTCATGATTACTTATAAAATCATGGCTGGGCTCATGTCTGTTCATCATGATTATTGCCACATGTATGTGCGGTCTGATCTTGGTATCGAAGCGTGCGTCCGTTTAGTGGCGGCAACTGCAAACATGTAATTGTAAGAGGTATTTAACATGCACATTACAGCGGTGTGCTTTGGTAATGTCGAGTTAAAAGACCTTAGTTATGCATTGGGAAGACATCATTTTTATCTATAAACTAAACTATTTTTTATTTTACCAGGTAAGGCCCACTGAGCTGTATAGCTCTTTTTCATAAGCGACCTGGCCACAAATGATAGCTCAACTTAGTGGCTTATCACGTGGAAATGTATAGCAGCCAAATACTCTACCACGACCACGGGGAAAACGCATTTTTCTAAATGTGGAGGGAAAATCTGGAGGACCCAGAGAAAAATCCACACGAACACGGGGAGAAGGACATGTAAATTCCTAATATACAGGCGCACTTTACAACTCACATGATCCAAATGCTTCCACTCTTCTGCCCACTCTCGATCGGTCAGCCTGTGATCAATGACCTCCTCGACTCGTCCTCCGTGCAGTCCTGAAAGGTCAAGGTCAAGAGGTCATGACAAAAAAACTGAACCCATTCGTCAGTAACATTGCCCTAAAAGGATTTTTTTTAAATATATATACCCACACAACAAACGTTTCTGGAAATAGCCCTTGGTTTAATTTTCCAGCGTCTGTTGATTGACGGTCATTGATTGACCTCATTAATGAGGCCTAGATACTCTATCCTATGTAGAAGGGCCATTGCTTGCAATGTCACGTATTAATTACAGAGAAATACATTTTCTTTTTCAGGACAGTGTTATCCTTATCCCCTTCACTCCGCGACAACACAGAAATCCTTCACGCAGGCCGTAACCCTCACCGATGGATCGATGCCTCTCCCTCGTCTCCCGCACATCCGCGTTGCCGCCGCCACCGCCGCCACCGCCGCCACCGCCGCCGCCGCCGCCGCCGCCGCCGCCGCCGCCCGCCGCGCGGTACACCTCCCGGTACGCGTGGTGCGCCGGCAGCGTGTGGTGGGCCGCCGCGGCCGCTGCCGCCGCGGCGGCGGCCGCGGCGGCGGCGGCGGCCGCGGTCATGGGCAGGCCCGCGGCGCCGCCATCCTCCACGCGGAACGCGCCCGCCGGCGGCACCGACACGGGGCCCGACGGGGCCTGGGAAGGAGGCGGAGGGGGCGGCGGCGGCGGGGGGGGCTGAGGCTGGGGCCCGGGGGCCGGGGGCCCCGGGGGGCCGTGGCCGTGGCCGTGGGAGGAGGGTGCCGCGCCGCCGGGGAGAGGGGGCGGAGGGGTCGGGTGGTGGGGCAGGCCGTTGCTGGGGCTGAAGCCGCGCGGCGTCGGGGGGCTCAGGGAGCAGAGGCGTTTGCTGGGGGGCTCGCAGTGGAGTCCTTCCCGGTCGTAGCCGTTCTCTTTGGTTCTGCGGGCACGGGCGGGCGGGCGGGCGAGGGGTCACGGGTGTCAAGAACGCTCGCTGACAACCGCGCTCGTCATGGTGCCACTTCGCCGAGGTGTACATAATAACGGCTGCCGAACTGTGACAACAGAGAACTTCTCGCGTGTTTTGAAGGGATGTCAGAAGCGGTGCTCTGTGCTGGCTTTTACCAGGGCAGCCCTCCAACGCAAGGCGGTACAATGCCCGCTGCGAGAGCTCCGGGTAGAAATCTCTTTTGACCTCGTGATGGCGCAATCAGAAGACACCCGGGGGCCTGCCGCGTGACTCAGTTGCAACAGCAGAGGGACAGTCTCCTTCACCCCCTACCCACTCGAGTGAAAAATTAAGACTTTTTTTTTTATGGAAGGTGTTTTGAGATGTGGCGGCAGCATTTAAGCGCTCCATAGATCTAAAGTAAACAATTTTTTTTTTATGTTATCAAGGCCCAACGAGCTATGTAGCTCTTTGTCAGAAGCAACCTGGCCACAAGTGATGGCCCAACGAAGCGGCTTATGTGGAAATGTATCGCAGCCAAATGCTCTAAACGCATGCCGATTCTAAATGTAGAGGAAACAACCGAAGGACCTGAAGAAAAATCCACGTGACCACGGGGAGAAACATGCAAACGACCGCGACCTCCTGTATACCAGGCGAGGTAGTTAACATCTTGCCACCTTGGCGCCCAATGTCAAGAACTCAGACCGACTCCAGAGCCTTTTCTTGCACAGCACCCACACATCTTGGAATGTCCCCACAACCAATCTCAAGAGTCCATATTCACCTTCTCTAGGACACGGTGCGTTTTAAGTCCACGCTGCAGCATTACCTCTGCCACTTAACGCTACAGCTGAGCTCCATTATATCCGAGGCTGTACATAGGGTTTACTTACATATGGCTAAGATGGGATATTTTGTCTGTGATTTGTATTTGTATCCAAGCACTATTAATTGTTCATTCCATTTGCAGGTAGTTGTGGCGTGGGCCAGCGCGTCACCCTTTTTGTCATCCAAATTGTGATCCGGATCTCCCGGTGTGGCAGTTGAAACAATGGTGAATGGTTATTAAATAGCTCCCTCACCCCCCACAGCCTCTGTCCACCCAGCGACATAAATGGGTTCCACCATGCTTATTCGATGGACAGGTCGCGCGCAGTGGGGCAAAGTTTAGGTAATCCCACATCTTCCAAGAGGTCTGGCCATTGTGTAAAAGCAGGCCAGGTACCAGCTGTGACGATGGGGGGGGGGGTGGCTCTCTATAGCTCCCTCTAGTGGAGTTCTTGCCACCACCAGCGGCGGCGGCGGCGAGAGCGAGCAAATCGCAGGCCTGCGCCTTTACCTTCGCCCGCTGTAATGTGGCGGTGCGGGGTGGGTGTGGGCACCTGTCCGGTGTCCGCCGCTTGCCGTTCTCTGCCACCTCGAGCATGAGGTCGGAGGAGTCGACGGGAGAGGTAGCGTTGGCGTCCAGCAGCAGCTGCTCGTTCTGGGCCAGGTACTGAGCCGGCGTCTGCTTGGCGAGCCGCGCGCAGTGCAGGAGCTCCCGCTGCAGCAGCGGCAAGTTGGCCTGGGCACGCACACAGAGACGCGTACGCATCAGATCGGATCACACATGGGGGGGGGGGGGGGGGCGGGGGGGGGGCGCGGGGGGGCCGACACAGCAGCAGCGCGTCGCCGGCGCGTTCCACTCGGCCATCCGCGTCCCTCCGTGGCCGCGAGGCCGCTCGCTTCCCAGCCCCTGGAGGTGGGGAATCGAGCGTGCCCGTCATGCCGTGAGCACATTCACGTCGCCAGGCCGTGAGCTGGAGACGATGAAACTCCACATTCCTATGGGCGAGGGGGGGGGGGGGCCAGTAGAACGAGCACCTGTATGACTCCTCGCAAAGCGATGAGGTCAATAGCATCGATTGACCTCATCAGAGGGGAAAGCCTTTGACTGGGCCGAGTCGACGTACAAGCGGTGCCTTGAGCTTGCGACCCTCCCGACGACTGCCGGATCCGTTGCGGCAACGGCGCACGCGACAATGCGCGTTTCTCCTTGCCAGCAATCGCCCAGGCCGGTGAGCACGCGCGCGCAAGTCCAGTTAATTTACCGCTGGATGAGGGCCTCGCCGCACCGTGCGGGGTCGTAGGTGCCGTTTGACCAGACTTTCTCCGCACGTCGCGACTGCGCGGGGTTGTTAAAGCCGGGGGGCAGTGCAGACGTTGGGAGCGTCGGGCACGGTACAACAGTGGTCGTTGCCGTACTGCTCTCTGCCGCTGTGCGCAGTGTTAAGTCATTGGCCTGGGAGATGAAGGACAAACAGGCGAGGGAATGCCTCAATACTGAGGTCCGCGATCAAATTACTGTCATTTAAGAAGATACTGGGGGTTCGCGTCGATCTACAATCAATGCCACGCACAGCCAACTCTGTCCAGTCTGGAGCCATCGGAAATATTATCCATGCAGAGGACCGTAGAGCAGAGTGTAAAACCCTGCATGGCTGAAGGTCACGACCTTCACAAATACACAGTCCCACATTATCCCAAAGAAATCCTTACTGAGTCGCAGTACTCTTTCAAACAGTTGGCTTCTTGGTTCGTGTTTCCATGGACTTCACTCTTCGATTCCTCCACCCTTTTCAAGGACTCGTTTCATCCACACTCTGTTCAACCACCACATTGCAGGTCGCAACAAAGACAAAGCTCACCTGTATAGCCTTAACAGACTGTTGGGGCAAGTGCTGTTAGAGAGCACCTAAGAAGGCCGGCACAGCGCGCGAGGGGGTGGGTGGCCAGAACCATGAACGGCATTTATCTCCCGAGCGCGAATGTTTTTCATACCACACTGGGTACTCATTTAAGGCTGAGTCAACCTAGGGGAGGCCCAGGGCCGGCTCAGATAATCGTCAGTGGTATTGGCTGTGAGCAAGAATCGAACTCGGCTCTCCGGGTTTGCAGCGCAGTGCGCTAACCGCTACACTCTCGCTCCCCTGGGTCACAACAACACACTCACTCACTGGCCCACCTACCCACTGACCCACTTGCCTAACCACTCACCCACTCACCATGCTGCAGGCCAAAACACTTCTCTCTCTGCTTCTGCCCTGGCACTGCTGCACTTTGAAACTTCCTCCTCCCATCGTCGCGTCTATTTCAAGCCATTTTATTCGTGATGGTGGTCGCCCATCCAAGCACTGCCCAGGCTCAATCCCCGCTTTAGCTTCTGAGCTCCGTCGAGACCGGGAAACTTGGTTACAGGCAGTGGAGTTATAAGTGCGGCCACAACGGTGGCCCAGCAGCAGCAGCAGCAGCAGGGAGCAGCGACTGCACTGCTCGTGGCTGGAGGTGTAAACCGCTCGGCCGTAGCGCCACCGGCCGGATTGGTTCGGGTCAGGGGTCGGCAACCAAAATAACAGGGGAATTTTTGTTTTACGAATTCGGCTTAACAAAAAACAAACTCAATATCGCAAGAGCGGCGATGCGACGCGAATACGAGTCACGGGCTGCTCGAACCCTGGTCGAGGTGAACCTGAGTGTTGCCGCTGTGATCACCGCGAGGTGCCGGGCAAAAACCGCTCAGCGGGCGGCAAAATTGATGGCCATCGTCGCTGTAATTTCAGTGGCGGGGGGGGGTGGGGGCGGGCTGTGGCGATTATTGCTGTGTGTTTTACTATGTTATACAGGTAACAAAACAACTACTTGTGTTTTCGTGGCATGCGAGAGACGGGTACCTTTAAAAAGGGAATCACGAACGGGCGCAGAGGGAAGTTGGTCGCCTCCTGAAGTTTGGCATGGAACTCTTCAATAGACAGAGTCGAATTCTGAAAATGCAACCCAACACACGCACAGAGAGGCACACGCACGCAGGTTACCACGCTTGGCACCTCCGATTCGCACGGTTGGCTACGTACGGTGCGAAAGAAGTTCAACATGCAATGTACATAGGTTGTAACAAGAAATAATATTGATGTCCTCTATACAGGAAAGCTTCGACCGAATGTCAATTTTCAAGAGGGTCCTGCCTCGGTACGTTTGGCCGGCTCCGATTGGTTATCACACGAGGGAAATTTATTAATCTTCCCTGGAGAAGAAGCCCACTGAAAAGCTCACAGCCGGCACACGGCTTCCCGAACCGGCGTGCTGCACTGCCGCCTGCTGGAAAAAAACTCGCGCTCCGCCGAGATCGGGAGCTCCACAAATCGGCGGCGTCACAGCCACCCCCGAGAAGGGTTATGCGCCGGGAGGGGCAGGGGGAGGGGGACCACCGCACGCCCGGCGAGTTCAGATCGAGTTCAAAATCCCGGTGTCGCTTTTCCCGACCCCCCCCCCCCCCCCCGGGGTCAACAAAACAAGAACCGTTTTGTTGGAGGTTAAATCGTGATCGTCCAGCATCTTTGAACCGGCTCCCGCCACGGCAATGTGGAATTTCCACCAATCAGTGCGACCGAGAGGGAAAGAGCGCACCGCCCCGATGCCCGCTTGTACTCTACGCTCGCGCATGATGTGCAGCATCGGATGCCTTTCAGCAGCTCCATGCCAACGTCGAGGTCTGCTGTAGGATCCCTCCATTGCTTTGAATTATTGACGACTATCATCCCATTCCATTCTACTCCTGCACACGATGGCAATGTGGTCAGGCGCTAAATGCCAATGTCGGTCCGGTAGCAGAGGGGAGTTTGTGTCGTTGTTGCTGTTTCGTTCCCCGCGTTCCGTCGAAGGAGCGACGCTCAATTAAGCGCGCGCACACGGTGACTTTGACCAGACTCAGAAGTAACAGCGAGCGTATTCCGCCAAGGCTACACAACGCGTGCTCATGTACACACTAATTTTAGCACCGCTGCACTCTGATCCTGGCGAATCACGCTCATCAGTGGCAAGTGAGAGCCAAATTTAGCACGACTGCCCTGGCTTGACTCGGCTTAAAATGAATACCTAGTGGGTGTGGTTGTGCGGTCAACATGATCCTATTTGGCTATGACGGGAGATGTTGGTTTTTGTATCGCACATGCGGGCACGGTGCTGTACTAGCGCGCGCGTGCGTATGTGTGTGCGTGCATGTGTGTGTGTGTCTTTGTGTGTGTGATCGTGCACGTGCGAATGTGCGTGCACCTAGCATGGCGCAAGCGACGCGGTGACGTCACCGTCAGTTAGTGGCGAATAGTGGTTGTTGTTGTTGTTGCTGTGTGTGTCAGCGATGCGGGGAGCGGTAGTGTAGCGTTTAGCGCATTGCTCTACGAACCCGGACGACCCGAGTTCGATTCACGCTCACGGCCAACAGCAGTGACGATTATCTGAACCGGTCCTGGGCCTCCCCTTGTTCGACTCAGCCTCAAATGAGTCAAACTGGTGCGATGTGTAAACATCGCCACTAGGGAGACAAAGGCGGCCGAGCGTGGTGCTGGCCACCCACCCCCTCGTATGCCGTGCCGGCCTTCATAGGTGCTGGCTAACAGCACTTGCCCCAACAGTCTAGTAAGGCTATATGGGGGATCTTTAGTGAAGTGCTTTACGCTGGGGCAATCACTATTCACGCCCTTCGCGGTTCCGCAAATTGTCACGATTCAGGGTCACAGATTCCTCCCAAGCAATCATTTTTGTGTTTGTTATATTATGGTGACTTCGCTGCCTCTTATGACTGCATATATCACATTAACCCCATAATATGAAACGTTTACGACTAATACACATCACTTCTCACATTTACATTCAAAATCTTAAGCATCAATTGGAACCGCCCTGGCCCATTATCCCAGCCATGCATGCGGGTACCACAAACCTGTCTCTGGGCCTCCTCTAGGTTTACTCGGCCTTAACCCAAAGGACCCGTCGAGGCGTGCGAACGAGCCGCTGGTCTTGATAGGCGCACTCCCTTACGGCACTTCATTCGCCCCCCAGAGACTAAAAGGGGGGTGGGGAAGGGGGGCGGGGGCGAACGACGCGGGGCCACCAGCGCTGACGAATCAGAGACGAGCGAACGACGGCCGGTCTTTGTGACACCGCACCGATGCTCGAGCGAATGGCGCTCGCGCGGGGCGCGTGTCCGGCATGCGTTCTCGCACGCCACCTACAGCACGCGCCACCTACAGCACGCGCCACCTACAGCACGCGCCACCTACAGCACGCGCCACCTACAGCACGCGCCACCTACAGCACGCGCCACCTACAGCACGCGCCGTCAGTCTCGCAGGGCGCCGCCGCGCCGTCTACCGCTGCTCGCCATTGCCCCTGGCCCCCGCGTTCTGTCGCAGTCGGTCGCTATCCCGTGCGGGGGTTTCGCTCTCCGCTCCATTACAGTTTTTTGCACCCCTTGCCCCTCGGCGTGCGAGGGGCTCGCGACGCCGCCACTGCTTGGCATCGCCGATTAGGCGGCGAAGAAATAAGAATTGGCGGCGTGGGCACCGCGAGTGGCTGCGGTGGGAGGGGAGGGGGGCCAGGCGAGCGAGCGAGCGAGGGGAGCGAGGGAGGGAGGGAGGGACGGATATACGATTTCACATCCTCGGAGCGGGAGGCAGATGGGACGGCACGTGAGCCCGCGCTCGAACACGCACGCGGCGGCCAGCTCGCAACGGGACACCGCGGACGCAAATAACCCGGACACGGCCAAAAGGGCCGGGTTACGTCACGGGCCAGCAGCGGCGTCTCCCGCGCGGCCAACCCGGCGATGGCCGTGGCGCTCGGCCGTAATCGGCCACCGGATTCGGTCGCGGCCGCTTCTCTAAGCGACCGAAGGTCAGGCGAGATTTGCGACGCGCGTATTGTTACGCTTCTACCGATGGACCGTGCGCTGCTTTGGAGTGTCAGCTGTTGAATTCTAAACGTAGCTTTCAACGCATCCACGCGTTGAAACATATACAGCGATCTACGTTAGTAAAATGATGGATCGAAAGGCACATTAGCACGTGATTTGCTTACGATTACCATATGTTATAAAACAATGTATTCTTAGGCACATGATGCGATGCATGTACCATGCAGTGAGTGCAGATTTCAGATGTGATCAATGAACAGCCATGTGCCAAGAGGAGCTATCACAGTCAAGTCTCAGCATCTCCCTGCACCAAGAAGCATTTGTGGCGGCACTCAACTTCATTGGCAGAACTGAGCCAATTGTGGAAATTCCAAGCCAGGGGCCACCTCGAGTAGCCGAAGTGGGATTTGACCTCACGACCTTCCGATATTGATCGTCCTCACCACTACCGCACCGGATCCCTGTGAGAGCAGAAGTCCTCTACTCAACAACTCCTCACATCCACTGGGTCCAGCCGACCACCGATTATCCTACTTCTACGGGTCGGCTACACCAGCTCGCCACAAATGTGTGGTTTACTCATTTCTTTAGAACGGCCTTTTTGTGTTTTAGTTGGTTGTCCTTCCCCCGCAACCTCCCATTCGCGTGGTTGGTTACGTACGGCGCGAAAGAAGTTTAACATACGTACATAACAGCAAGACTGAAGATAGAGAGAGGACATAACCTGAACAATGAATATCAAATATACACGGAGTTTAAAGATGTGTTCAAGATCAAGATGCCTTCACCATCATCATGGCTAAAAAGCCGGCGGTGATTCCACCTCCTCCTCGCCACCAAAACGCTGCACCCTGAGTCGGACCCCGCAGCTACCGCACAGCAGGCGTGCAACCTCCGAGATCTTCCCTCAGAGTCTCCCACCATCGGCCTGTCGGTCTCTCCTTGACCTTGATCATCGAGCATGCCGAGACCAGTCCAATGCCTGACCCGGTAACCGGTCCACCCCCGCATCCTGCACCACCCCAGCGGAACCATTTTTGCCGAAGCATGTCTACGACGCTTAGCTGTTCTTTGAACGGATGATTGCGTAGCTGCCACGAACTTCCCAGGTACCTTGGCTTAACTTTCAGCGACCTCTTTTTTTGAGCTTAGTTAGGGGCCCAGCTCTCTGATCCGCACACCGAAACAGGCAGCACTCTCAACATCAAGTACATTTTCTTTACATTCAGACTCATCTCTCTTCCCTTACAAAGTGGTTTCCGGAGCCCATCAAGCACCTGCCCTACTAAAGCACAACACCTTCGGGTGCTATGTTTGCGTCCTCAAGGGTGTAACGTCTTGGCTGGCTGGGAGGTGTTTTCACTCGGAAACGCACCACTTCTGGAGCTGGCTCAGGACCACCACGGTTAACCCAGCACCACAGTCAGACACATTCAGACAAGGGTCTGTCACCTAGCACCATCGTTTTTTTTTTTTACTCTGTTTAGTTGTGAATACAAGTTCGTTGCTCTTTATACAACGGAGTTGCAGACTGGCCTGTGATAGTTTCTCGACAAAAGACTAACCGGATCAGTTTCTGATGCGATGTTTAAACAAGAGCGCTAGACCGATCTGTGATCGGATCTCTAGAAATCTGACAGACCGGTCTCTCTCTGTCCCTCTGCTCTCGAATTAGAAACTTGCTACAAATACCTCGGCCTCATTATCTACTCAGCGCTCACCTTCCACTTACACAATGACTATACGTGAAGAAAAAAGGGAAATGTTTTATACACGAAGGCTTTCGCGACCAATTTCATCCATAATATATAGGGAACGAAACAGTTAGACTTCTCCACAAATCTCGCTGTCGCCTGATGAAGCTAGTTGTAATTACTGGCGAAACGTCGTACTCAGATTGTAAATGTTGTGGCTTAGCTCTCCAACACACCGGTGTGCTGCACTAGTAACGAATTGGCATGTTCTGTTTACGTGACAACCCTTACTAATTGGCCGTGTCGGGTGGTGGCGGGTTTAACGACACATTTATATATTTATGCGAACTAACCCAAAACACCTGTATTATGGATGATATTGGTCACGAAAGCCAACGTGTTAAACTAACCTAAAAACTTGTTTTATTTTACCAGGTAAGGCCCACTGAGCTATTTCAGAAGTGACCTGGCCACAAAGTGATTGCTCAACGAAGTGGCTTATCGTGTGAAAATTATCGCAGCCAAATACTCTCAACGCAAATTTCCAAATGTTGATGGAAAAACCGGAGGACCCGGAGAATAATCCACACGACCAGGACTACAACATGCAAACTCCAAATATACAGGCGTCAGGGTTGGAATCGAACCCACAACCTCCTGTATACCAGGCAAGGGAGTTAACATCTAGCCGCTGTAGTGCCCAAACACTCTCCTTAATAAACTAAAGCCTCTTTATCATAAGATGCTCCTTACAGAGCTCATTGCTCTATAGAGCTTTACTCTAAAGCTAATGACCTCTCCGGGAGTTATATACTGGGCGATCTTCATCCACAACGTTTTTTTAAATTCAAATCAACTCTCCATCCACAAGTGATAGCTCAATTAGGTGTCTTTTTACGTGGATATTTATAACAACCAAATCGTCTAAACGCACGTTTCTAAATGTTGATGGAAAAACCGGAGGACCCGGAGAATAATTCACACGACCACGACAATAACATGCAAACTCCAAATATGCAGCAGGCATCAGGGTCAGGATCGAACCCACGATCTCCTGCACACCAGGCGAGGTAGTTGACATCTCCTAGCCACCGTGGCGCCCAAGGTGAAGAAGTCAGACTGGCTGCAGAACCTTCTCTTCTTGTACAGCACCCACAAACCTTGGAATGTCCCCAAAACCAATCTCAAGAGTTCACATTCACCTTCTCTAGACATGGTGTGTTTGCAGTATTACCTCTGCCAATGCTACAGCTCAGCTAGATTATGCCAGAGGGTGTACATAGTGTTTACTTACATATGGCCATGACGGGATATTTTGTTTCTTATTTATATCTAAGCACTATTAATTGTTTATTCGATTTGCAGGTGCTTCTGACGTGGGTTTCATGTTAGTTGGCACATTCCCACCCTACCCTGAAGCTGCCACCACTGCCGGCGGTCTTGGGCTGTGGTCGTCATTGCCAAAGAGCTGCTGAACTCAACGGCGGCCTTACTTGCTGATATAGTCTGAGTATGAGTCGGCTCTCTTCCTCTCTCTCTGCCTCTCCCTCCATCTCTCTACCTCTGTGTTTTGACTCTCCCTGCCTCTCTTTTTCTGTATCTATGTCCTTCTGCTTCTCTGCCCCTCTCTCTTTCTCTCTCCTTCTCTCTGCCTCTCAGCCTCTCCCTGCCTCTCCCTGCCTTTCCCGGTCTCTGCGTCTCTCCGTGCCTCTCTCCCAGCCGCTCTCTTTCCGCCATCGCCCCCAACCCCACGCTCTTCCACTCACCACGAGGCCCAGCACGAGCGTCCGCACGCGCTCGCCGATCTCGGGCGAGATGTCGGAGCCGAACTGCTGCAGCGTCGTGAGGAAGCGCTTGAGCTTGCTGAGCTGGCGGGCGCCGCACGCCGGCGGCAGCTGCTGATTGGCCAGCGAGGAGGAGGACGAGGACGCGGGGCCGTTGCCGAAGCCGTTGGGCGGGGAAGGGGCGCCGTTCATCCCCGGCGGAGAGTGGCCCACACCGTTCAGCACTGCGAGGAGAGAAGAGGTGGTGCGGGGAGGGGGGGGGGAGCGAGAGGGAGGTGAGGCAGGATGAACGAGTGGGTGAGGGTGAGCGGGGGGTTGGTTGAGTGGTTGAGTGGGTGAGCGGCGGGGCGGTCGAGTGGGTGAACAGCAGGGTGGACGCGTGGGTGAGTGGCGGGGCGGTTGAGTGGGTGAACAGCATGGTGGACGCGTGGGTGAGTGGCGGGGCGGTCGAGTGGGTGAACAGCATGGTGGACGCGTGGGTGAGTGGCGGGGCGGTCGAGTGGGTGAACAGCAGGGTGGACGCGTGGGTGAGTGGTGGGGCACCCGTGTGGGTGAACAGCAGGGTGGACGCGTGGGTGAGTGGCGGGGCACCCGTGTGGGCGACTGCTCACTGCTCGTGGGCGTGAAGGAGCTGGCTCGGTTGATGCTCTGCGTGGCGGGGGGAGGGGGAGGCATGGCGGCTTGCGGAGCGCTGCGGATCGGAGGAGTCGATCTGGAGGAGGCCTTCACGTCCGAGGGGGAGTCGGGCATCCTGGTGCGCGCGGGACGGCAGGGCACCTGGGCAGAGGAGGAGGGGGCGACAGCACGCGGGCAGCAGCGTGGACCGCATGGTTAGCGAGCGCTGGATGCAATGCATTGTGGGTCTGAGTAGCGTCTAACTGCAACCACACCTTGAGATGTTAAAACAAAAAAAAGTGTTTACTTTCACCACAACGAAACAGCAACTGGTATTTTTTTTGGCCGAATTGGCCTAGGGGAGGCCCAGACCTGGGTTTCTATTTTCCACGTTGTTGCGCATCTTTTATGGTGGTCCTGCTATAATAAGCCATTATTGCCACTGATACTCGCACACAATATTCCATAAACTTGAGGCTTTAGAAGTCAGCCTGTGTAGGCCTTAATAAGTTTTCACTAACAGCACCCAAACCAAGTCTAAATCAAAGTTAATTGAGGAATGCGAGGGTGTCTCCTGCACGATTATCTGTGTACGTGCGTCTGTCTTTGTGTCTGAGCGCGTGTCTGTGCGTGTGTGCGCGTGTCTGTGTGTGTCAGCATGTGCACGTGTGTGCGTAGATGTGTCCGTGTGTCATCGTATGGGAAGTGGTCGTGTAGTGGTTATCACACTGCACTCGGTAACCACGACCAACACTGGTGACGATCAACTCTGCCGGTCCTGAACCTCCCCAAGGTCGACTCAGCCTAAAAGGAATACGCCTGGTGCGATGTGTAAACATCAAGACAAAGGAAGCTGCCGTGGTTCTGGCCACCCACTGCCTCGTGTGCCATGCTGGCCGTTATAACTGCTCGCTAACGGCACTTGCCCCAATAGTCCGCCGAGGCTATATGGGGGATCTCGGTCATTATCTTCGGGTCTGTTTGTGTGAAGCTCATATTTTTGTTTGCCCAACAGATGCAATTAAGCGCAATGCAACAAAACCCCTTGCTTTTAAAACAGAAGTCAACACCTGCACAGCCCGATTCATTTCTGTAAAAATGCATCGTCGGCACAACAAGCCTAAATATTTCACTTGAAAAGGCATTCATTTGGGCGCAGCACTTGCAACACACGCTGCCGTATGCCTCCATTTGGCAAAACGGACACGAAACAATGCGAACGACGATGGCGCACAGGCACGCAGTGGCAATTCCCTGCCAAGAGAAGGAATTTCGCTTACTGGGTGGGGCCTGGCTTGCCAATGTGGCTTTTCAATGGCAGTGAATGAGAGTTAATTATGATGCCAGTTGAACGTGAATTGATGCAGACGGCCAATGTAGCACCGTAGTCGATAAGGGGTTACTTTTAAACGGTAACGGCATTGCGCAGTGCTCATTTCTGGTGGCCTTGAGTGAGCGGTGGAAATTCCACATTCCCGTGTTTGGGGCCAATCTCTCCAACGGGTGGCCACTGTTGACTTACCACAGAGTGGTACGTTATTTTAACAGCCCCAAAGAGACGATGGGCTGGGGCTAGGGATTTTAAATTCACGATAATTTCATTACGGCAATCTAGCCATTGAACCAGGCTTTTACTATTTTTTTTAATTTATTTTAGATCCAAATAAAAATAAGGTACGAGAGAATCCATGCATGAAAATTGTTGCCCATGTCAATGAGTGCACCAATGCTGGCGGCGTCTTCCGAAGGTTAGGGTGTGTGTGCATTCCAGCAGACTGCATGTATGTATATAGAACTTCTTTTGCGCCATACGTAGCCAACCGTGCTATTCGGGAGGTGCGGGGGAAAGACAACAAACTAAACACAAAAAGCAGTTCTCAAGATTTAAAAGTGCGAAACTCTCAGTGGCTTCCTAAAGCCGTGGTGGCTTCGAGACCGCTCGATTTACTTAAAGCACAGAAACCCAACCACGAAGTTGAACACATTAAATATGCATGGCATCGCACAAGGTGGACAGGTGAGTCAGACTTAAGTCGGAACCATCCTGAGATCCTGCGTTTGGGAATCCCATTGAAACACCCGCCACTTAGCGCAGGTGTCGTAAGTCGTGAGCTGGATGGTCTAATCCAGTGCTTCTCAAAAAACAAATTTTTTGTAAGGCCCACTGAGCTATGAAGCTCCTTTTCAGACGCGACTTGGCCAAAAACGATGATGCAACGAAGTGGCTTGTCACGTGTGGTAGTTCATAGCAGTGGCCAAATGCTCTCAATGCATGTTTCTAAAGATGGAGGGAAATATCGGAGGACCTGGAGAGAAAAAAAAATCCATGTGACCACGGGGAAAGAGCTACAAGCAAACTCCAAATATCCACAGCAGGGGATCAGGGTTGGGACCAAAGCCACGGCCTGATGAGTGTGATCCCCGGTGACACCGGTGGTCCGCAATGGTCCTCCAGGTAATCCGCCGTGACCGTGATGCTTATACATTTTTTTCGGACATTAATATTTTTCTTATGATATTTAATAAAAAAAAAATGAGGTTAAGTAAACGACACTGATTAAACCACGCTTACCCTACAATCTAAATGCCCCCCACCCAAAAAAAACCTTTTCGCTGCATTCAAAAGAAAAATGATGTCGCAGTCATACTAATCATTTTGTATTACTGCTATTTAGAGATAAGTTTAATGCGTTTTGTCACCAAGGTTGGGGGCTGGGGTCTGTTTGGGTCCACGGATATGTTTGCATCGGCTGAGTAGTCCGCGGGGCCAAACAAAGTTTAAGAAACACCGCTCTAACTCGATCACCAACGACCAAACAAAAAATAGAAACTGCAAAGTGTCCTTGGCACTTAATTGAGCAAAGTCAAATGACTGCAATTTTTGTTGACGTAAAAAAAGAATCAGGGCAGCGAGGCAATCGTCCACCTTCTGGTTTGACGACGACACATCGGAGACCAGCTTGCTCATTCGCCGTTCGCGCCAACGATCCTAGCAGAGGCCGATTCGTTTGGTTTATTGTCCGACGCGGCCCTGCCGGCCTCTGTGGATGTCAGACGTCAATGGAGACCGGCCTGTGGTCTAAAGAAGAGCCACTCGCATGTGTGACTTGACCGTGCATCCATGAGCTATTGGATACCGTGTTCATTAAAAACAACGTAATTAAACAGAGGTTAATTAAAACCAGGTTAATTGTAACAGATGGAATACTGTAACAGGTTCACAGAAAACAATTAAGGGGATTTAAACTCTCACCGTGTTGAATTGATCACTGCCCTTTTTCAGAATTTTCTATAGCTATGCAAGAAAGGGCATTTTTCTAACCGCGGCTTATTGTGGCTTTACTCTGACCACCAAAAACTCCCCATGCAGATGAGCAAAGGGTGGGCACTTATCTCCACTGAAAACCACAATCCCGTGGTTACAACTCCATGCTTCTATGACGAGGTCAGTCTATCCATAGCACAGCTACTGCCGACTTGACACAGTTATCGAGACCGCGGAGAGGAAGAGACATGTGTTCTTGGTTCTTTCGGTCAAGTCACGTAGAAAGGAAATCATAAAATAATAATAAAATAAAAATAAAAACATAATAAAATAAGATTCTCACGACGTTTCAGCCACAATGCATTAGGACGCTGTCTTTCCGACAGCTGTTTCTTCACCTGAGGACGGCTGCGTGCGTTGTGGCCGAAACGTCGTGAGAATTTTATTTTATGTGTTTTTTATTTTTTTATTTCCCTTCTACGTGACTTTACCGAAAGAACCAAGAATATGAATCCCTGCAGTCACGAAAGCTTTAAATCGAAAGGAAGAAACGTGTTGACCCCTTAGCCGAGAATTAAACTCGCGCCCATCCGTTAGCGAGGCGAGTGCCTGAACAACCACGCCACTCGGCTGGTTTATGGTAGTTTGACCATCACCATCATCACGAGATACAAGGAGATATACAGGGACAGATATATTATCTGCTGATTTATTTTGCGATTTATATTCTTCACAACAGCGCTCATGATGATTTTGTCTTACGTATATCAACATCATCAACAGGCCGCTGTGCACGTCTCCTTGATGAGTGGAAAATTAAAGACAAGGCACAGTAGTGCGACTGTGGCCATGCAATGCAAGCTACGGACCGTATCCTAAACCTCCTTCAATGGACAGGAAAACTACTCAAGGAGAAGCACTCTCGTGGCTAGCAGACCTCAACATTGGCATTCAACTCCTGACCACATTGCCATCGTGCACAAGAGCAGAGCGGCATCGGATGATCGCCATCAATAATTCAAAGCAACGAAGAGCTCCCCGAACTGCGCAGGCAGGGCCCTCCCGCGTGTTTGCGGGTCGTCATCGGCGCGATGTCCGACGCTTCGCTCCGTGTGCCGGGGAGCTTCTTCGGGATGCGGCGACGTCGTGGGACACCGTCCCCAGCGGCGCACGGCACCGAGTTACACGGCGCACCTGACAGCGCCTTTCGCTGCGCTATCCGTGTGAGAGATTCCACGGACGCGGTGCGAATACTTCACTTGCTGGTTGCCACCCAGTGAGCTTTAGTTGTAGGTGTATGCACGGATGTCAAAACTCGAACTGCACCAAGAGCTTTCGAAGCTTTGCAATAATCGGATTTGGGGAGTACATCAACGCGCACACATTTCCCTTGCTGTACGCGGTAGTAGTAGTAGTAGATGCGTTCCGAAAAAAGGGGCGCGCACACAAAGCAAAACGGCACAAGACGGCTGCCTGCCGGCTCGCGCGTACAGCATACACACACACACACACAATGTTTCCCCACGTCAGACCGCATAGCCGCGTGCAGAGTGAATACGAAGCGCATTACATAGCGAATTCTGGGTGGAAATACGTCAGCCGCCGTATATACAGCGCGAAATCGTACAAACCGAACCCCGCGTGGAGCGGGGCAAAACCTCGCACCTCCACTTTCGTACGCCGTCTCGCAGAATCCGGCGTCGTTAAATATCCGCCACGCGCGGCAAATCCCGAATTCTCTTCTGGCCCAGGGATTAAGGCAAACCTGCATTGGGCACGATGTAAGGTGCCCACCCCCTCCCCCCGGGGCTCTTACCTGGCCTAATGGCTGAGCCAGGTGTTGCTGCCCAGCAGGGACGGGGGAAACGTTTCCTCGGTTACAGCTGAAGGAAACGGC